TGGATGGGTTTGCGTAAACCCACGTTAAGGTAAACGTACCTTTTGCCATACGTAGCGATCGGTTTTCCGTTTGCCGCCTGTAAGTTTAGAGTCGATTCGTGAAGTCGGTCGTTAGGATTTGCTGGGAGAACGCTAACTTCTGCGCCAGTGTCGACGAGGTAGCGAACTCTCGTTGTCACATCTGTGACGTATAACAGACGGCTATGTTCGCCGGCTACGGTTGCCGTTAACGCGTGCCGGCTTGGAAGTTTCCCGATTGTTTTTCGAGTCAGTCGGTTTCGTGTTGGGAAAATTGCAGGGTTTTCTGCAATTTCTGGAAAACTTTCCATACTGGTTATGATACCAGCACCAGTCGGGTTATCCGTCTCTCGTGGTCTAGAGACAGATCGCTTACGTGAAATGCTTCTACGTGGGGCGTGTGAGCGATTACGGTCGGTACGAAGATTAAGATAACGCGTGAGTGTATGACATAACTCGGTTATGTCATTCTGAGTCGTGTGAGGCTTTTCTTTGACTGAAAATACCTCGGTATGAAGATTTCGTAATTTCTAAGATACGATCGGCAGATGCAACCAGTTCGTCTAAGATGAGACCAGAACTGCTTGCACCTGTTGGGGAAGTTTAGACAAGAAAAGTTGTTTGAATAGACCTTCGTCGAAAGTTCTTGGGCCTATAACCTCTCTCATCCGTTGCAACATGTCCGTCGCAGAACCGTGTTGCAGGTCTATGTTATGAAGAGTTGATCTAACCTTTGTCGATCGGTTAGGTCTCCTCGTTTAAGAATCGAGCGTTTTAAGGTTTCGTAAGGTTCGGAAACATCACTAGTAAACATACTAGGTGTTACGTACCTGTTGAATTCCCGCGGCAGTGCCTTGACTACTTCGAGGAATTGTGCACGTGTGCTGTTCACGCCGTGCTCGTGGAAGTCGGATTCTGCGTAGCAGAACCGGGCTTCGATATTGTCGGGCCAGAAGGGCATGAGTTGGAACGAGGGTGGGGACATGTTCTTAATCTTAAATACCATAGGAGTCTGATCAGTCATAAGGGAATATTAAGTTTGAGAATACGAGGGAAAAATATAGATATCCTGAGACACCGGGAAAAAATATCACAATGTATAAAAATTAAAAAATAAGGCAATGATATGTAAAAATCCCAAAAAGGAACAGACTTACAGTTGCAATTAGGTGTACCAGATCACGTTGGTCTCACCAATGATGATGACACAGGTATTCAGTGTTTGACAATGCTTTTACCAGCAACACCTAATATAAATTGTACCCACCAAGAGAAATCAAAAGACAGAGTCGAGGAGATCGGAAGAGTGTATTTGGCGATTACCAATATATCGGAATTCTCTGATCTAATCTGGCTAGCGATTGCGGTAGATGTTGAGCACAGCGTTACCACACGTGATCTGGTGCGGATGCATGACCGAACGCCTTCAGCTAGATGAGTTCACTAAAATATATGGTCAGCATCCAATGTTGAAAACTTACAGAGCTATTTATTTTGGGGATATATTTACCGCTACAGAGGGATTTTCACACCCACACACAACATTCAAAACGGATCTTACAGTGTCTTCAATGATAAAACGATTCAGGAATGTCTATATTTGTTTCGTGGAACCGCAGCAACAATTTGTCTCTAGTTTCGGAACCAGATACTTTCAGGTGTATTTCCATCTTGTTCAGATTATAATTATTATCGGTGAACGTGTTTTGAAAAACTGTTCGACAAAGACCATTATTCAACTTACTAATTACTTCGTCTAATAGTGTAAGGTCAATATACACGTCAAGTAATTGTTTACACCCGATTTATCAATACATTTCTGATAATAGTCATTTATCTTAAGCTCTTAACTTCTCTACATATTGGACAGTGACGTTCATTTCTGAGCGGAAATAAATTCAATGTAACTATGATTACTAATTGAATAAAAAACAATAACTTCACCATAGAATATCAATGTTTGGAGATTATTTGACAGTCAGAGGAAACTAATGGTTGATAAGAAGTGTCTACTATTCCACATACAAATATATTTGCCACATGTGTGTCTATAACATTCTGTTATCGGTTATTCTGTGTAAATTCACAGTAAATATGCGTGTGTAACCACCGGAAATAATGGAATTCAGAAAGCTTGTTATGCACTCTGGTAGTCCGGGATATACCAGTACGAGGTTGAGGAGAACGCAATGAGCACGACTAAATGTATTGTATTTGGAATTCAAACCGGGCAAGAAAAAATTATGCGTGAAGAAATCATCCTTACTGGAAACACTCCAGACATCATAGAAAGAGAATCGATGACCACAAGTGCGTAGTATTTGTCCAGAAACGAAACTCAATAATCTGGATGAATTCTCTGCTAGACCTCAGACGATACTGGTCATTGGGTCTGTTTTGAAGGATGGTTTTTCGATCCATAACGATTCACAATTGTTCGCTTTGCAACAAATATATCAGTGTATCTTGTTACTGATATGTGAGCCTTGCTAAAGATTTAATTTTCTCAACACTGAAATGTCCTCTTTGACAATCTTCAGAAATAGGTTTACGTAATAGGGTACGTAATAAGGAAAACTTCGTTTCAGATCGGCATTTCAAACTGTTCTGATAGTCCACAGCACATATCTCAATTATCGAAGTAGTGAGTTTGTAAGAAAAAAAAATTGGAAAGTAAAAGCGAACAAAAATGAAAAGCTCCTGCTAGTAAGCGTAATCGTGTGAGAGATTTTAGGATGGTGAAACTGTCAATGGCACTTGTCGTCTCATGTCTGGTCTAGAATCATGAACATCAGACTAATATCGAAGACACTCAAAACCAGATACACAAAATGAACATTTATTTAGATTAATGTCAAATATTTTCTCAAGCAGATGACGTAATGAAGTAGTAAGTCATCGATCATGAGATATTTTATGAGATCATTTGGACAATCGTCAACACTTTTAACTTGACTGGAAATATTATCAGATTCAACTGTGGTGAGTGTTTGCTTCAACAAACGGGAATTAATTTTCAAAGAACGAATTCTTATCTCTTTATAGCACTTAACACAAGCAGCCATGAAATGTTCAATCAGAGCATCTGAATCTTCTTGGAAAGCTAGAGGAGCCAAGTGCAGTTGATGCCTTTCTAAACACAAAGCTTTTAATAAAATGATTGACGATATACAGACTGTGTCAACAATGAAATTACGGAACAAACTAGGAGAAATATTTAATCATCTATAAAACTGTGGATAAAAGAGAAATATTATCATAAGCTCCAATCACATTAGGAGTTATTAACGGGGCTTGTTATCATGATTGGCGAAATGAACGGTAGTCCAAAATATCACATAATGTATCCAATTTTTTCACGATTTAAGCATTCAAGATCACAAAGAAGATATGACTTCCGAGAATGCAGTTTGCCAAATATTTATCAAATCTGTGTTCATCTTAATATGGTGTATTGGAGTTGTGTGTAGAAGCTTGTGTTTATCCATACTGAGTAGCTCAGGGTGTAATACGACGATGTTCGATGTAAATAATACTGAGTCCGAGTACCGCAGCGACACATCAACTCTGTGATGCAGGTGCAGTCAGCTGACGAGTCCAAATAGGACGAAGGGACACGCGTTCCGGTTTCAACTACTGGCCGCCATCCAACTTCGTTTGTATTATTTGCGAACTAATGACGATAACGAGGTTACTCACACGCGATGCATATATAACATGAGAAGACTGATCATTTTTCAGTCCTTAACATCAGCGAGAACATTATAACAACCAATGAAATCTTTGTAGAATGTTTTCCCATATTTGAGTGAGATTAGAATCGATTATAACACTACAGTGTGCTGTTTTTAAAATCTGTCACCTTATTTAGCAATGCTACGACGGGATTATTACTAATTTACTGAACCTTTAACTTTCCTCATTATTACTTGAGTATCAGCTTAACCCTACAGAATTATTTGATAATCAGCATTCATAACACCTAATTAACAATGGTCAGTCATGAAGCTTTTACTGAACAGCGAATAATCGAATAACGGAGGAATTGTAGTGCGTGCTACTTATATCGATGTCAGTAGTATATCACGCGAGTTAAAAACGCAATGTCTGGCAGCAGAAGATGGGAGAAGATCAAGAAAGGAAGAGCGACAACACAATACAATTTGTAAGGAGACGCATGAACAATGAAATGTGAGACAATGGATTGATGTTTGCAACAGGAACAGTCCAGGTTGATATGGTGCATTGATATTTTGCACATTAACGATTTACTGTATGCTTTTTCTATTTTAGCAAGTAACTCTGTAATTTGATTGTCATCACCTGTGGTCGCCTTCACTACAGAATGAGGTGCCTCGTTAAATGCTAATGCGGTATTCCGACACTTAAGTTTCCAACAATAAATATCGACAATTTCAAATGATATTTTCAGTGGTGAGACTTCATCAAACTGGGCATTCACAACGGATTCATTGCTGATTACAATTGTCACATAATCACATATACAGAATAATGTTAATTCACAAGTGCAGTGCTGTAAACTCTTGTAAAGCTAATCAGTTTTTGCTGAATGAAAACAATCACGTAAATACAGAAAACCGTATTTTATATTCTACAAACAATTGTAGCGTGGTGTCGAGTCGAGATTAACTATGAACACCGCTACCAAAAACACGTGCCAAGTAAATCAGAAGGCGAAGGTTGGACGTAACCAAATAAATCCATAAAATCTCCGGGAAGCCAAATATCAGAAGGCAATTAACGGACCAAATCGAGATATATATTCGCTGGCGATCTCGTGGCATCGAAAGGATACCGAGATCGTGCCAGGATACAAGCTTGGTTACTGAACGTAACCGAATTCGCGCGAAGTTACAATCAAAGTGTAAGAGTAAGAATGGAAGCACAAAATAGCTGTCATTAGCACAGTCAAACAAAAGCACATTAAAACAAGCACTGGTATAGTTGGTTATGATAATTATTGTTTTTATTAAACCAGTCGTGTTCTCGTGATAAATGTGAGTCACTACACAATCATGAATGTTGTGTGTATTTCCATGAAACAATCTCCAATTTCTTGAAATGATTAACATAATCGAAAGTGTTTGATAAAATGAAAAAGGAAAATAACAGAGTCAGCATGATGAAAACAACAAATAAGAAGGCGTTTGTGATAATCATGGCATACGTTTTTTCTTTCTGTAAAACCATAGCCCTGTGATACAGCCAGTGCATACAACAATGAGAGTGGCAACTACTGGTATGACAATATGTGAGTAATTACAGGACCTTCTTTGCTCTTTATCTTCATTCGTTTCTGTAGTCACATTATGGAAAAGCAAAACAGTACAATAATTACTCAATATCGAATATTTACGAAATGAGTTTCAGTGTTTTCAGTAGTCTGTCTCAATTCATTTCGTAAATCGGCTAAAGTGGTTGCTGGAGTTGTTTCTTCTTCTTCTTCGATAAGTGTTGGTCTACTCGAGACGCTGATATTCGAGCTATTCTGGAGAATGAAATAGTAGCTATATAACTAAATATCATATATTTACCAAATGAGTTTCAGTGTTTTCAGTAGTCTGCCTCAATTCATTTCTTAAGTCAGCTTCATTTATTGTTGGAGTTGTTTCTTTTTTTTCGATAAGTGTTGGTCCACTCAAAACGCTGATATTCGAGCTATTCTGGAGAATGAAGTAGTGGCAATACAACCATATATTAAACATTTCATCATTCAATTTACAGTATTTTCAGTATTGTTGACACAAGTGAATTCAGCAAATAGTTACATAATTTACTTTTGTACAGTTTGATCAGTGAGTAATGATTTAAGATATCTGCTACCGATTTGACAGTCAATGTGATAAGTACACATTATCCTACGATCAACAGACGACTAATATTTGTGTGATGAATTTTGTTTCCTGGATGTCATGTGTTAAACAACGCAATAAAATGTTCTTCCGAGTAAATTTACTTACTTTAATCTGGCAACCACTGACTTTGAAGTCGTGAGTATCCATATAATTGCTAGTAATGCACATTTTGGATTGTTCACACCAAATACACCTTGTGTTCGATGTGCTTGCGTCTTGACATGTTATAATCGACTTGTGTTTTGGACAATCTTTGGTGAAAACAATAAGGTGACTGCATTTCAATTTATCAAGCAAAACATCTGTGAACTACAAATATGTACCTATAACTCAATGATATTATGGTAATTTCGCAGTTGAGTGACTATTTCATACGCTGTGAATTTGTCATCATATTGCGCAATATGAAATTCAGTACACATTCAATATCATTCACATTTCACGACATCATGTTAATGTTGAACAAAACTACGTTCAATAAGGAACGATGAGTTTTGACGAGCAAATTTCGTGGATTTCATAGACTGTCAAATTTCAGAAATGTACACTCTGTGCTGTCACTGCGTTCAGCAAAGCGTATTGCACTTAATGGTTGTCGAATTTTATTCCATGATGTCAGTTTTATGACTGAAAGATGGGTTGTATACCACGCCTACATATGAACAGTGGTGAATTAAGTTGAAAACTCACTCACACTGACTACTTGGAAATCGGTGCAAGAAAGTCAGTTGTTCAAAGACAGAAAATACATTTTCAATAATGTGAATTCAATTGAACAAAAAAGGGAAAAGTAACATTGTTTTTCAATTCATCGTTGACGTTTTTCTTGAACAGATTTCAGTCAGTCCACTGTGGTGGAAAGTTTCAAACTATATGGCCATATTGTATTCTGTGTGCTTTCAGATCGCACGTCAGTCTAGTTAGATCATGAAAATTCATCGATAACAGATAATATTTTATTCAACGAATATTGACATCGATCTAAACAATAGATTATGGAATGATTCTCTCAGTTGTCGAAATGTGATTTCAATAGTCTAAGACATGATGAACTGAATAACGTTTGTGGTTATTCACTTAAGTATTCACGAGAAAAAAAACATATCCATTCCATGAAAATCGTCAGTATTTTTGATACTGTATTAATATCTCCTGACAATGATAAATTAAAATCCGACAAGTAACTTGTATATACCTTCAATTTACCGGTCGAGTAGGATAAAGTAAAGATTTCGGAGATTATGCTATTGCATTCAACATATTTAAAATTTCAGTGTTTCCGCGATTCCAACACCTCGTGGAAATTCACTATCATATATTCCAAATGAAAAAAATGACACTGCCAAGTCAATGCAAAACCAACTAACTGACTTATATAATCTGATCTATCGTTTTGTGGCATTTTGTTTACGTAAATTTAATCAAAGTGATGACTTTTATCTTGGTTCAAAATGTGTCTTTAATCATTTTAAATATTCAACAGTGAATTGACGTGTGATGTGACGAGAGTTAAGACTGATGGTTAAATATCATTTTATAACTGACCGAAATTATACATGAAATTTTCAATTTTATGGAACAGAAATTGTGCGACCAAGTGTGAGAATAGTCAACTCTGATAAAATAAGGTTGAACATACCCCTAGAAACTTCATACTCTACCAAAGTTCTAGTTCTGATCCATTTTCCGGTAACAAACATACTAGGAATTCTACTTTTTACTTTATTAATTTGAACAAAAGAAAACACTTAAAATGGTGATTTCCATTTTATGTAATAACAACGTGTTTGCTCGTATAAGGAGCAATCAAAATAAGAAACAGTTTAATATCTCATCATGGATACAATGATGGTCAAACAGCATCCTCACGAAACATGCTTTAAATCACTTTTGGTTTCGAAAGTTTTAATTGTTCAACCAGTAAATGAAAAATGATATCGTTAAATTTCTGATTTGTGTTATAGGGGTGTCAGTGCGACATCTTTAAAAAAATATGTTTAACGCGTTAGAAATAATTTCACAAATTATCAACCTTGAGGTTTACTGTGAAACGACTCAGCAACACATTTCAACAGATCATCAGGTAACTCTTTGCCAAATGCTTAATACATTTTCTCACACTCACTCATTAAAGACTGGATCCAACCTAATCACTCACACTAAACACTTACCTTGAACTCAGCTTCATCTTTCAACAACATACGACCATTTCAGCATTGTGTAAAACAATAATGAGTCCTTTTTGACAAAATACGCTTCCTTTTGTATTGAGTAGTCTAAGAATAAGAACTACAGGTTTGACTAATTGAACAGTGAGTGAGTGAATAAAATAATGGATGTGAAATTATGCTTTTGCTCCAAGATGTGTAAACACTTAAATAACACTGAATTTTCAATAAATAATAACAAATGAAGAGTGAATTCACGAAAGTATCTCGATTTCATTTCACACAATTTTCCTGAACACTTCAATTTGGGCAATTTATTTAACACACATAACAACTGATTACTGTAGACTATCAGAAAGATATATTCTAACTCTCTGACAGATTACAGTAAATGTCTGTGTAGATATACTGAAAATAGGGTTAAAACAGATGGCGACATTCGTCTAACAGATTGTTATTCGTGTAGGTTAGTGTTAATCAGAATATAAATGACATTTGTTACCTGTTTCACAATGAATCACAATGTTAATGATCGATGTCACTTGATCTCCTCGAATTTCCCCAGGAACCTGAAAAAAAGTAGTGGATGTTTGAGTCAAGAACTGTCAACACACATCCAGCTATATCAAAATCACCTAACAACTGAAGTAATATGTCGTCATTCACATTGTCTTACACAAAACAACTAATAAGACGCACAGTCAGTATAATGACCTACTCAGTTCTCTTAGAACTATACTCCATCTAGTCTATAAAGACATTCTGACTCACCTCAGTTGTCAACTTCAGTGAAGTTAGATGAACGATCTTTCTATCAAGGAATGAGGCGACACATAATAAGATGAATATACACGTCGGTTAACAGAAATGTGATTTTGAATTACTGCAATGTTGCTGCACGTGACTTTGTTGTAATGTGGTGTGACTGTGTTGATGAATTCACTTCGACCCATAAGCGTTCATTTCCCAAGAGAATGCTTTCCATATTATGTTCTGATTACCTCGAAACAATCAAAGCCGATTCGGTTCAACATACATGAAACCTTCATCTTACAAGCTCTTCCTGGTTGCCTGCATTCCGAAACGGCGAAGTAGTAAAATCTTACATTCAAAGAATTACACACTGAGAAACAATCAAGCTTTGAACAATTTATCACTAAGATCATTCAAAAGTGAACCTTTCAAACAGCTGATTTTCAGATTACGTAACGAAGCTTGACAATATATAGTCTTTCGCTTGTAGTACTCTAACTTACACTGTGTGTACTTAACCGGCGCGAAGACATCAGAATTTCTTTTGATCCTAATTCGCTTCTTTTTACTCACTGTTTTACAAAATTGCTAGAATAAAGTGTGTCACTAAGGGAGTATTAGTAGTTCCATATAATTTAAAGAGAGTAAGAACAAAGGTTGGTGCAGAATAATATGAATTCATTTTATTTCGTTAGGTTCTCATCAGCTGCTTACAACCTAAAATATAGTCAGTGTGAACATTACAATATATTGATCTCTTTCTATCGTGTTCAATGTATCTTGATGCATTCGGCAGTATTGTTATGCACGAAATATTAGAATAATTTGAAGTACTTGAAACAAAATAACGGTTATATTCAATTGCGCAACTTACGTTCTCATAATATAAAGATATCTTCCCATTCGGATATATCAGGAAAATCATTTTTAATGTAACATCTGCAAACAGAATATTGTCGTTATATAAAGTTTGAGGTATTTATGATGAGCGTGTTATTGTCAGATGTGACATTGTATTTGCTTACTCACAAAGTGATCACATTTAAGCTGATATTTACCATGTTAGTAAACCAGAGAGACCTGTCATTGACAAAGAAGGCAGGAAAATTACTGAGATTCAAGAACAAAGGAACAAATGGATAGAATACTTCACACAACTCTTGAATAGGTCAGAAAAGGTGGTATTCCTATAGCTGAAGAACATATGAAACTCAAAACAACTGTAAACCAATATCGAAGTCAGAATCTTCAAAACGAATGTCAACACAATTATAGTATACGGAACTGAAACTTGAACAACTACTACAACCATCATCAAGAAGGTGCAAGTAGTGAGACGGTAGTCTCGTTCGCGTCGCGTGAGCCTGCAATCTCATCCGAGGTCAGAGGCGGCGTGGTCTGCTGATCTGGACGTGAGACTGTCGTCTCGTCCGTAGACGGTGCAGATGACGCGTGCTGTTGACTGGGACGTGAGAATGAGGTCTCAGATATATCTAGCGTGGGACCTGAAGAAGATTTAAGGATCTCGCTAGTAGGTTTAATAGGTCTAGCATTGAATCTCAGGGTATCAGATAGGGCACTGTCATCGACGTGTGCTGGTTTGAGACGATCAATGCTGACGATCTCGACGCGGCTATGTCGATCAACCTTGAAGGTCTTTTCGTGACGAGCGATCACGTGAAAAGGGCCTTCGTAAGGTTGTTGCCAATTTTAGCGTACCGAATCTACACGTATGAAAACATGTGAACAGGTAGATAGCTCTCGAGGGAGAGCGACCTGTCGATGTTGTATTCGAGTTGACACCGGAGACAGCGTTCGCATAAATGCAGACAGTCGATGGACGTAGTCTGATTTACCGAAATTAGGTCTGCTCCGTGGTGTGAAGAATTCTCCGGGCAGATGCAATGTCGTGCCGTATACCAGTACAGCGGCGGAACATTGGATATCTACCTTCAAGCTCGTTCGAATACCTAAGAGGACGAGCGATAAGGTTTCGTACCAGTTGTCGTTCTCGTGTGCTCGTAGAGCACTTTTAAGTTGGCAATGAAACCGTTCAACTTAATCATTTGATGCTGGGAGGTAGACGTTAATGCGTATGCGAATGCATTCCGTACCAAGCAGCCGGGTCAGCGAGGAGAATAGTTAATAGGGGAAAATTACTCGAGTACAGCGTGGAATTCATCGTCACGCGAATAAAAAGTAACAAGGATTCGGTACACGTACATGGGAGTCTATTATATTAATACTATTCTTATCGTTATCCGTCATGTCGAGTATATTATATATTAAAAAATATGAAAATATACGACAGACGTGGATAGATAAATCATAGACTCACCGAATTGGCTTCTTTGGAAGATTTGACCAGAAGTTGAGGCGTGTTCCAAAATACGGGTCACCAATTGTAGCGTGGTGTCGAGTCGGGATTGACTATGAACACCGCTACCAAAAAACACGTGCCAAGTAAATCAGAAGGCGAAGGTTGGACGTAACCAAATAAATCCATAAAATCTCCGGGAAGCCAAATATCAGAAGGCAATTAACGGACCAAATCGAGATATATATTCGCTGGCGATCTCGTGGCATCGAAAGGATACCGAGATCGTGCCAGAATACAAGCTTGGTTACTGAACGTAACCGAATTCGCGCGAAGTTACAATCAAAGTGTAAGAGTAAGAATGGAAGCACAAAATAGCTGTCATTAGCACAGTCAAACAAAAGCACATAAAAACAAGCACTGGTACAGTTGGTTATAATAATAATTGTTTCTATTAAACCAGTCGTGTTCTCGCGATAAATGTGAGTCACTACATACTTTCCACCTAATTTTTCCGAATGGCTACGCTGTATTACTTCTGTCAGTTTTTGACAAGAATTTAATTACGCATGTTAAATAGAAAACGTGGGAGTAATTACAAAGAATGACGGTGTAAGTGTTAATATAACACATGTGGTCAAACAATTATTCAATGGATACATACTTTTACCATCAACGTTTCAATGATAAAGCTTTCTGACAGCTAATAGTTTCTCTAAAATAATGAAAAGAAAAATAAGTTGTGTTTATATATCTGCATTCTGAATATCCGCCTCATTCAATAAACATTTATTTCAACACAGGAGGAGTTTGGACACGAGATATCATCTTCCTTACAGGATTTAAATAAACCTATTCACGTAAAAGGAAGTTTCAAGGACCCTTATTATTATTTCAACGACTTGATGAACATTTCAATATCACCAACTGAGAAGGATATTTTACTTCTCAAACGTTGGTTTTAAAAGTTTTTGGTTAAATAAGACATCGGTAATATCTTGCAAGACAATCCACATACAAAATCATATTCTTCGATTCTGTTGTTCCAATGGAACAGTGTTCTCTAAATTAAACTAATTGTAACGAACGAACTACCAGTATTCGGTTTGAACGCAGGACTGACGAACCAAAATTTATTCGAATAGGCCAGACTACGTTCTTCTGTATAGCTTACAAAGCGTTTTTGAGACAGTTGTATCAAAGTATATGAAAACACAAACTCTGTGCTCAATTTAAACGGTTCTAATTTAGAAAATAGAACAAATTGTATCAGAAATACAAAATACCTCAAACGGTACAGCCTGTGCTATACAGTCAGAAGTTTCTCTGACGCAAAGTAGGGCGCTAAGCAATAAAAAAAACAGTTATTATTGAAGGGTACGATACCTGAGAATCAATAAAACATTCCCAACAAGATGAGATCAAATATCTATCTGCAGGGATTCCAGCAATCCTCCCAAGCAGACAGTCAAAAGGTTGACAGTCACACACTGAATCACGCCGTGACCTTGAGCTTAGTCAAAAACGACCCTACTGTCAATAGTCTGGCAATGTGCAATAGAAAATTAGGTAACAAAAACATAAGTCTTTAATCAAAATCACATAATAAAAGCTCAGACGAGAATGACTGAAGAACAAAAGGTGTGGTCAAACGAGATCTGAACAAAGGTTAAAATACACAACAGGAAGAAGAAACAGATAAATGACAGTACTGTCCAACAAAAAAGTTGCGGAGGTATTTTCGTCGTTCTCTTTCCGTTACACTAATTATTATACAGAAATGCTACTCCAGTGTCATTAATCCCGATAACTGAACAAAATGAATTAACTTCATTTTTATGTTCTATGTGTTCTGGTTCAAATCAATCATGTAGTACTAGCAAACTGTTCATGGTCGTCCGCTGGTTGAATGTTGGAGGAAGTGCATGAGTTCTAACATCATGATCATACGAATATGATAATCAAGAAAATGTTGAATATCCGATGGTCCGCAGACAGTGACAAGAGACACCAAACTTTTAAAAACTAAGTAGGGGACGGAAAAGATTTATAGGACATCGAATATATTTTGATATTTCACTTGTTTCAATAATCCGAATTGATTTCCCACACAACATCGCTTATGGTTGTAACTGTAATCAGTTCGATTCATTGAATATACCACGAAGTGTCGCATTGATGAGATATCTCTTTCATGGTAGTTTGAACAGACTGAAGAGTAGATAATTTTCACTTAAGCAATCGCATCATTCGATTTATTATTTCTACGTAATCAATTTGTGTCTATTTTGAAGTGAATCGCAGTTTTATTTAACGCTTTCACTGGACAGTAATAAATACGATCGTTGTGAATAAATTTTAGGGCAATAAATCAGGTCTCGTGAAATGATCAAGTCAAGTATTGAATCATTCATGTGAAATAGAAAACAAAACAAAACATTATTGAATGATAGGAGAACTCACTATCATCCAGAATCTCAGATTCAGACTGAAGACTGTTTTGTACGTAAATGCTAAATGATCCTTATTCCTTTTTTCCTTTCACTCCTATTGAACCTATGTTGATTGAATGAAAACATGCAACTTCATTGACAATCTGCAGTGACTGAATGTAACACTTTGAAATAAACTGGAGACTAAAATGAACTGCATGAACCGTAATTAGTTTGCTGTAAGGCGTTAAACTATTTACAAGCTGAACAAAGTATGATATCAGTAGTAGTTTTGAATGTTAGAAAAAGCATAAAACTAATTTACCGAAGAAATTAAAACAACTTTGACTCATGGAGTGAAGTGTGAATAAGCAAAACTCAGTAACAATTTTTGCTCGAAGAAAATAATTCTCTTACCAGTAGTGTATATCTTTAGTGCAATGACGTCTGTGCCGTAGTAATTAAACGGGAATTTCGGAGTGCAATCCGAAATAAATAAACACATGAATTAATACCTCCAGTGCAAACTGAGGTCAACTCACCTTATCAGTAACCAATTTTACAAACTTGTTATTTACAGCTGGTAAAGTGTGATTGAGGCGGATTGTCTGGAAATAATAATAATAATGGGACCGAATATGTGTATTAGAACCTGACAGATTACTTACGTATTCATGTGACTCGTCTTCAAAAATTACTTTTCTATAGTCCTCTAGTTTAGGTCTGTTACAAATTTCATGACAATCAAAAAATTTTGAAATTATTACGATGACCGAACAGAGCAGTATGAACTGGCCACATGGAAAAGTATATCTGAAATAGTTCAGATAAACAAAACAACTTTATCTCATTAGATCACATTGAACTTCATATAACACGCTCATTCGTCTAAACTGTACAGTCAATACTCACCTCATCATATTGTCCAAAACGATAATAAATGTTGTTAGACCTTGTTGAGTTTATATAGATTTTTAAGTGTTAGTTTGTTTCTTACTAATTGGATGATTCAAAGTGATCATTTAGACGATCAAAATTCATAAAATCATATAATCATTGTTAACCAATCATCATCTTGGTAGATGAACACATCGTTATGCTTTCCTCGCCACATTTTTAAAGCTGTCCGCGCCTGTAAAATACCTCCTTCGTTAAAAAATCTTCGACGTGTCACCAAATCCCAAATCGAATGCACTAAGGATCTTATCTCTAAACTTAAAATAGAATCCTTTGGTTATGACAAAATCGTTATGGATTTAAATATTGTATGTCGTATTAAACTTATTAACTTCATTCGTGATGTTCAGTCGAAGACCAGTCACAAATTCATGAAGACATTAACCAAAACACTTGTTAAAGAACAAAACCACGTGGCATTTCCTACCAATCCACGAAAATACATACAGAACTTATCTAATAAAAAACTAAATCGAATTGAAACCGAAGCCCTCTGCCTTGGATTCAAATTTCATATCCCAAGAAAATGCAACAGAATAGACACTGAGACCCAGTTTGAATACTTATATCAACAACTGTCAGACTTTAAACCCATGAACGACGAAAAGCACAGTTGGTTTAAATCTAAATTAGTGGATATCACAAACCAGTATGTTACGACACCAATCCCACACTCAAGGGTGTTCACCGAAGACCACCATCAAGCATTGGAAAAACTTATTAAAGACGAAACAATAATGCTACTTCGTCCGGATAAGGGTTCCAGTGTAGTCATTCTTAACAGAGAGGAATATATCAATAAGGTAATCTCCATTTTAAATAACTCCACCAGATTTATCATCGACAATACCCAGAAAGACTTAACAGATGCGACAGAGAAACGTGTCTTAAGAAAGTTGAGAGAACTTGTTAAGAAAAATCTAATAGATAATCATACGTATAACGAACTTAAACCAAAAGGGTCACAATTGCCATACTTATATGGGCTACCCAAAACACATAAACCCGACATCCCTATAAGACCAATATTATCGATGGCCAAATCACCCTTCCATAAACTTGCCCGCTGGCTTACTAGATGCTTGGAACCAATTCGCAAAAAACTAGCAGCTTACAGTTTGAAAGACAGCTTTGAATTTGTACAAAAACTTGATAACCTTAATGTCTCTGACAAATTCATGGTTTCATTTGATGTCTCTTCGCTTTTCACAAATATCCCTTTGGAAGAAACGGCAGAGATCATATGTGAATATCCAGAACTCCTGCCTTTACCACCCCAGGAATTTAAACAGCTCCTGTTTTTGTGTACAAAAAACATACAATTTAAATTCAACAATGTTCTGTACCGACAGATTGATGGAATAGCAATGGGCAGCCCTCTAGGCCCAATTCTTGCCGACATATTTATGGGACATCTGGAACAAAAGAAATTGAAGCACGCAATCGACAGTACCACACTCTACTGCAGATATATGGATGACACGTTCCTTGTCTGCAAAAATCACCAACACTCCATGTACCTACTTAGTCTGTTCAATAAAGTCCACAAAGATATAGAATTTACCATGGAACATGAAGTTGATGATAAATTCCATTTCCTAGATATTGGAATTAGGCGAACACCAGATGGCACACTACAAAGACACATTCACC